GGCTGCCGCCGCGGGCGGGGGGCTCGCCCCCCCCTGCCGCTGCCGGCTGGCCCCGGGCAGGAAGGGCTGTGCTGCTCCGCGGGAGGAGCCGCGCGTGGGGGCGAGGGCGGCTGGCGCTAGCAGCAAAGGCAGCCGCTTTTCCAGTCGCGCAAGAAGCTCGTGGAAATTGAAAAGCAGCTCCCTGGGCACACGGCGGCCTTGATTGCCGACAGCGCGTGGGAGGGGACGCTGGTCCTTCCCGCAGCCGCGTGCGCCTGTCCCAGCGGGTCTCGGAGCAGCCCGAGGAAAGAGAGACACAGAGGGGGCTATTTTCTAAAACGTCTTCTCAGCTCCGTGTCAATACAATGCTGGTTACAAACGCGCACTCCTACCGAACAGGAATCAAAATAAACAAAACCAAAAACCCATCACAGTGTTGTAAGGTCTAGGATTTCAGTCAGGCGACCGATATGTTAAAGGATACATTTCAGCCTTAAGGCAGAGAAACAGTTACATTTAAAACATAAAGGATTTCTGCTTTTAAAATGTCATTTGACATCTGAAATTAGGTACAAAAGGTCATCGAGTTACAAACAACAAACAAAGGAGGTGTTTCTGCTCGAGAGCCAGGCATGCATGAGAAGATCTCAAACTGAAAGCAGGCAGGTGGGTGCTCTGGGCACCCCTCCCTCGCCACAGATGGGAACTCGAAGGCCAAAACACCGCTTGCTTACAAGGAATAACTTTCCCACTCTTGCCGAGAGGCCTGCGCCAGCAGCTGGCACTTCCACACGCTGCCCCAGCACGCGCTCAGGGCGAGCGGCAGGAATTAGCAGCCTCGGTGCCAAGTTTCCTAATGCAATTTGCAAACGGCTGCGAGGACATCGCCAAGCCCGAGCGTGACTGGAAGCCGCGGCTGCTCCGCCTGGTGAGGTGCCTGCAGGATCGGCGCTGCAGAGAGGCAGCGTGTCGCTGCAGCAGGGCCAGCCAGCCCGGCCAGCTCGGCAACCGCAGCGCTGCAGCGCCAGTTGCCTCAGCAGATTGGCTCGAGAATCCTAATGCAGGGAACAAGGCCATCAGGGTCCCGAAGGGAGGCACCTGGTTTCATGATCGTACGCGCCCGGCTGAAGCGCTTCCTCCTCAGGGATCAGAGAGACCGTGCTGGATGCGTTAAGGCGGGTCAGGACACCACCTTCCACTTCCACAGCAGCAACACCCAAGTGCTGGAAGCAAATCGTTCACGTGCTTGCCCCGTCTAGCTGGTTTGGCCGCTGGCAGGGCTGTTCTGACAGTCGTTGAGATGCCTGGGTGCCTGTAAACGACTCTCTCTGCCTCTTGATTTAGCAGAGGTCTGCGAGGTGGGAGGAAATCTCCCCCTGCTCTGCAAGATGCACTTGTAACAGTGGGGAAGGGGTTTGCCCTATGCTCATGCACACGGATTCTTGTCTGATTCGAGCTGAGAGCTTGCACATACACGGACAGAAACTGCCAACACCACAGTTACCAACAGGGCTTGTTCCAAAAAAGAAATAGGAGGAGCTTCTAAATTAAGTGGTGACTGCACAGCCAGTGCGTTCCTGACAGACTCCTAACACTCAGCTGCCCGCCCTATCCTTAAACAATGGCAGAAATAAACTTGCTAATTTAAAAGAGAATTGAAAACAAGAATTAACTTATCAGCTGTCTCCACGGGGCGGGAGGAAGGGGGGACGGTGGCAGTAGTAGGGGGATGTTACGTTCCTGTTAGCCAGACAAACAAATTCAAAATACCCAAAAGAAACAAATCAGCTTTACTGAAGGAGCTGGTTCATTTCTTAAATAAAAACAGAGACCACAATCAAGCCAGTTTAGTTTAACATCCTAGAAAGGGAAAAGGGTGGACGTTTAGTAAAAGGGAGAAGTTGCGAGAACTTGTGGCCAAGGACCGACTCTTGTGGTTGATTCTTCAATGACCTCTGTGCCCCAGTGAGGGAAGGGGAAAGGAGGGCAGATCAGCAGCAGCAAGAGATATGGTTTTTCAGGAGGGCACCAGTAAAACCAGAGAGGGAAGGTGCCTGGCCCTGAGCACAAGACGGTGCAGCAGATTTCAGGCTGCTGCCTCACCTACGCACAGGGAAGGAGCCTTTTCCAAGAAGGAGCTTCCTCCTTGCTGAGGTGCCAAGTCTGGTGTTCGGATTCCCACGGCCACATCCTTACGTGTTGCTCCTCTCCTTTGATTTTTCACTTTTGCTGTCCTAAGGAAAGGGAATGGGGAGGGGGGAGAGGGGGGGGAAGGAAGAGAAAACAGAAACCACAGGGTTAGGCTACCCCTGTCACAAACTCCTGACAGGATTTATAGCACTATCACCAAGGTGCTGCAGGTAAACATCCTCCACGCCTGGGCGCTAGAAAGCGACCACCACCCTCCAGCACGTTTGGCTTCCTCCATGCCTACTCTGGGTAAACCAAGCTCCCTTCAAGCCAAGCTCTCTCGGTGGTTAGAGTGGAAACGTTTTTCCATAGCTAGGCATTTCAAAGGGCATCTTTATCAGTTTATCTCACAGGGATTTACAAAAGCTGCACGTTTCCCAGGTGGGGAAACAAAGGGGTGAAGTGACTCCTCCCTGGTCAGAGGCAGAGCTGTGAACTGAACACAGGAGTCTTCCTGCCCGGCCTCTATTGTAACACATGCCGCCGCCTCTCCCCAATAGAGGAAAAACACCCGGCACATGCCTGTCTGGGTCCAGGCTTGCCATGATTCAGGTTCATTCAACTCCCATATGCTAACAAAGAGATTATAAAGGAAACCAAACATGCACGTGACACTCCCGCGCATCTACACACACGCACACAAACAGTTCTCAGCATAGAGAAATAGCTCTCATCTCATAAAGTCTCTAAGCCTGCTGCCTGAACTCTATCTTGTTAAGGTCTTGGCTTTTATTCTTCCAGAGAAGTCACTGCCTCCTAGCTTAGGACTGGATTTTTCTATTTTAACAAGTGCTTTGTTTTGTTTTTACCCTGAGTGAAAAAAGAAAGCAAGAGTCAACTTTGGACTTACTTTTTACGTGGGTTTAGATTTAAAGTATTTAGAAACTCAAATTAACTGGAGCCCTGCTTACCACCTGCAACGAGAAGCTGAGGTTTGGGACATGTCAAAGATTAGGCAGTTTAGGATTTCCTTGGAACAACATACTTTTTGGGACGGGAGAGGGAGACTGAGGAATCACACACTCACCAGTGTCATAACACCACACACAGGCGCACTCACGCAGAGGAGACAGGCAGAGGGCACAATACCTCAGGTGGTGGTGGCTTGATAGTCACAGGCTGGGATGTCCTTCGTGGTGGAGAAGGTTTGGGCTGCACTTGCTGCTGGACAGTATTGTAGTATGTGACCCCTCCATACACCTGGGACTGGGCCTGCATTCCCCAGAGAGCAGAAAGGTCAACGCTCTTTGCTCTGGAGGACCAAGCAAGTCTCACCCATCACAAGAGCACCAAGTACCCCAGGCAGCCTTCATGGCACAAAGTAGGTCTCTAAAAAGATACCGCTATCTAGTGCCAAAGGTGAATAGCCACAAGGGGACCTGGTTTGATTTGTGCTATGCTCTCCAACTCGACAAAAATAGCAGCGTTTGAAAGTCCTGGAGGGTGGCAGCTAGACCACCCTCTTTGACCATTGCCCCCTTACCAGGACCTCCCTGCTCTTGGCAGGGTGGGCAGGCATGTGGCTCTGGCAAACCACAGTCACACTGGCCTGAAGGTCACAGCAGATGGGGTCCTTTCGCCCTGCAGAAATCCCCAAGTGCCATACAATGTTTGCACTTCAAAACAGCAGCAGCTACTGTTTTTCTGTGCAAACCAGGCAGATAACGATTCCCCCTCACACCGCGATCACTTTCAGGTACCCAGGGCCTTGGGACCTGCCCCCAAAAGCAGGCTGATTCCCTATCAGGGCAGCTCTGGCCAGACCAGGAGAGCAGGGAAGGTCAGAAAGGTTGTTGGCTTTGGGGGGGGAAATGCACATCTCTCGCCTGCCACTGCGTGTCAGCCGTGTGCCGTTTGCAAGCCAGCCACAGGGAGCCTCTGGTTTGTCATCAAGATGCCCACAGAGATCTCACTCCTCTCTGCAGAACAGCTATTGTGGACACAAGAGGTCGGAAGTTTAACAGGAAGAGCCGGCCCTGTGGGGACTGCTGTTCACACAAAGGGTTTTCCTGGTCAGCGGCAAAGAAAAGCACCAGGCAGTTTCAAGCTTCCCGCCTCGGTCTTGCAAACAGAAAGGAAGGACTTCCAAAACAATTGTCAAGGTGTCCTTGACAGCACAGACCTGGAGGGGACAAAATGGTTTAACAGGCTCCCCGCGGGCTGTTTCCCTTGTTCCGAAGGGGAAAAATTTTGATTCTGAGGTCCATCAATACAGATATTGCATCCATGAGACCCCAATTCCAGGTTAAACGCAAAGCAGGCATGGGAGCACTCCCTTTCAATTCCCCACCCAAAACAGAGACAAATGACAGTAAAAAAACGCCCACTATGAAGGAGCTCTGACGTTCCACATCCTCTCCTCGAAGACTTACAGAACATAACTCTTCCTCCCTCACCCCCAGGATCCCATATACGCTCAAAGGCTCCTGTCCAGGGAGGAGACGCACAACGCAGCTAGCTTACCTGCGTGTTGGAATAGAGATGAGGAGGGGGCGGTGGGGGTAGTGCTCCTGGGGGGTAAGGGTAGCCAGGATTCCCAAAATTCATGACTCCAGGAGGGGAGAAATAAGTAGGTGCAAGCAGCTGCTGCGGAGGGGGCTGGCCCGGAGGCATGGAGACTGGTGGAGGATACAGCCCAGGGTTTGCCATTGGGGCTGGCGTCTGGTGGGGATGTAAACCTGGGAAGTGACAAAAATAAGCTGAACGTGATGTCACGTGTAAAGTCAACAGGTTTCAGGGAAGGCTGAGGCTGCTAAAATGCCAACATGCATAAGCATGGCTGTGCTGGCCCTGCTCTGGCCTTCCCTACCGCAGCAGGAAGGAGAAGCACTTTGCTCAAGAGGCCTTGCCTGCAGCCACAAGACCCCAGCTCCTGCGCGGGAGAGGGAAAAAAAGGAAGCTCTACTCAGCGCAGCAGAGCACACCAGCCTCCTCCCCAGTGACAGTCCCGAATCACAGGAACCGGACACAGCCCCAGTCAGCACATCCACTTCAGGGAACAGTTCTTGTGGGCAAGGTAGAGAACATCACAACTCAGCAGCTCTCATTTCTGCTTTTCTTTTCTGGTTGACAAGCTGTAGGATCTAAAGAACAAAGCTAGCACAACAGCTGGCAGTGGATACATCCTACTGAAGGGGAAAGCAATGCAGCCAAAAGGGTCTGCACAGCACTTGCATACATCCAGCTAGAGGCTGCCAAAACTTTCAAGTGATCTCAGCCCTGCACTGGCTGTAAGGCCCAAAAAGGTCTATTTTTCTTTGTTTAAAGTGTATATTTGTTCAGCCTCACCGCATGAGGGAAGCGGGCGTCTCTCATTTTATACAACAGGGAAGCTGGATTCCCTGGCTTGCCTCAGTGACAAAGGCAGTGTCAGAACTGCTCCCGAGCCCCAGCAGTGCCTGAGCCCTCCACAGGGCACAACCTCAACATCACTGTCAGCTGCACTGTGCTACTGGGGAGTTGGATCGTTACCTGGATGAGGGAGGTGCATTTCCGGCTGTACGATCATCCCTTGGGGAGGCAGCGGGGCAGGGTTCTCATTGTGGGTGTAGATTGGTCCCTGGAATTGTACTGCAACATAAAACAGTTCGTAAGGAAAAGCTTCACTGAATTTATTCTGCTGCAGCAAATCACGCTCCGTGCACAGGCCAACTACAGTTACAACACACGAATGCATTGCTACAAGACTAGCACTGTCACGTTCCCATCAGGAACGGCAAACGCAATCCACGAGGCTCACAGATGCTATGTATCCCCAATAGAAGAGTTTCCTATTTCCTTTATAAAGCAGCAAAATTTCTTCTCTAACACTTTAAATACTGCGGTAAATTTCAAATCCAGTCCCATTCTTGTTCCATAACTCTCCTCACGCTTAACTGTTCAAAGAAATCGCTCTGGTTTCAAATTTTAACTCCTACTTCTTATGAAGAAAAGCAATGCCCCAGACAAAGCCCTGGCACAGGGAGGGAAGGTGGTAACAACGATTGCGTTTAGATGGGAAATATCAAGGTTTAAACACAAACCAGCGAGGCTCAGAGCAGCCTTTTAGTCACAGTTAGAGAGACAAAGCAGCGATGATGTTTACAAAGGAAAGGAAAGGCAAAGCCCACCGATCTGTCCTACTCTAACACAGCACTGAAGGAGCAGAGGACTCCCGCTCCGGCTGCTCAGAGCTCAGCTCTCAGCACACGGAAGAGCTGCCAGAGCAGCAGGGAAACACTCACGTGGGTCATAGTAGTGCCCTTCCACGATGCTGATGTGCATAGGGGGGGCAGGCTCTGGAACCGGCGGTCTCTGCCGCTGCGATGAGTAGCGTTTCACACGGCCCCCCTGCACCGCCTGAAAGAATCCAAAGGCATCGACAATGGTCAGCGCGTGACGTAGGAATTCCCCCTCCGGGGGGAGCACTGACCCGCTTCACCCACCAGCCCCCTGCAAATCTCTATTTGGGTCGCACAGTAAAAATTGTGAATACACGTGAAAGGGAAAGGCTGAAGTGTCACAGACAGCTTCTAATTATTACACCACAGAAGCATATAAACGTTTGGCTTCCACGCTTCTAAAAGTAAGAGTCACACTCCATACAGCATGCTTTACCATTTCCTCCATCCTGTTAAACTGAGGCGGCGGCCCAGTTCCCACGTGCATATGGTTAGGAATACCTGAGGAAGAAACAGACTGGTTATTATGGCTTGCATTTGTTCTCAGTAGAAACTGCCACCTCACCCACCAGCACCGCCAGAAGCAACCCGGCACTTGCCACAAGTGCACCGGCAGTCTGCAGAAGTTATTGTATGAGAAGTACTGACACAGCTCTTGCTTTCACGATGAAAAACCTTATAACAACTTCATGTCTTAGGTTACAATTTTAAGCATTTCAATACAAATTAAAAGCTCTTGCACCACTGTACAGTCATCCATGCTGCTCAACACCATTTAAATCTCCCTAAAATAGATAAATAAATGAAAATCCTTGGCTTGAAGTCCAGATCCCAATCTAAGCTCTGTTCCTAATGAAACAAGGATCTCTTTAGAGCAGAAACCAAGTGTGCACATGGAACCATATGATCTGTAGTTCAAACTCACTAAAGAGCGTAACCACTTACAGCATGGTCTCCTTGCAAGCATTTTAATCCAAACAACAAAGTTGCACTGCGCAGGTAAACCACAGTGTCAAATCAATTATAAGCAATTCCAAGGGAGTGAAAGCGGGCTAAATAAATACTGAAAGTGCCCATGGAGTGGCTGCACAGACCCAGCTCCCAGGAGGTACTTATGAAAGCAGCAAGTCACTTTCCTCTCCTTGCTCCAGTTTTATTTCTCTTGGGAAGGACTCTTAACTCTCCCCAGAAAAGACTCTCCAATTCTGCAAAGAGATAATTATACCTGAATGACCTCTCATGTGGATTCTCAGCTGGAATTCAGTTCTCGGCTCACATGGGTCTAACTCTGCCATAGATCTCTGCTTCAGCCTGCCTCAGTGAACAGAGCAGCTTCCTCCTACCAGCTGCAAATGCATTTGCCAGTCCCAGTCAGGCCTGAGCTAGTGGCAGCCAAATCTCAGTGCTATAAAATAAGCTCAGAGTCTACTGAACAACCTGCTGATAAGCGGAGGAAAGCTGCTTCCTGCTCCTGAGCGGGACGCTAGATGAGTCTGATTAACGATCACCTACCTGTAAACTGATCGCAACACTCCTATCCCCAGAAACTGACTCCTGCTGCAGCAGCAGGTCCCATCGTGTTTCACACACTGTGCCCAGTTCCTGTCGTCTGTTCCACACACAGACCTTCACTTTACTGAATCTTCCTCGTTCTCAACACAAAACAGGGTAGACAGAGGGAAAGGATCTAGTCTTATGTCTTTCCCAACCCTGATTCAGTTAACTTATTCTCAGATATTTAATTCCCCCCCTTTCTGTTCTGTTTTGCCACCTTTAATCATCTCCACTGTACTTTCTCAACAGTATGAACCTCTGTCACGTATCTAAGCTGAGACTGGACTAACGGAAAGACAGTTCAGCTCTGATCGACTGTGAGATGTTTGCAACAATAGCAGAACTGCAGTCTACTGGGGACGGGGGGGAAGTTCAGCAGAAAACTAACAGGCTGTACCCACTTACCCCTAAGCTCCCGGGGCTGTATGAACTGAGACTGCCCTGGAGTCCAGTTCTGCTCAGTGAGATTCATTTGCGTCATCTCTTGCTCGAGTCCATCCAAGCTGGATTCTACTGGCGATTCCCAGTTACTGCTCTTGGCTGGTGGGGGGGATGTCTCCACTTGCACAGGTTTGGATGGCACAGGCGTCAGCCCTTCTGAAGCAGGTACTTCATCTGCCAACTTTCCTGCATCCCCAGCTTTAATTCTGGTCCTCCTTGCCCGGGAATAAGACTTCTTTTCAATTGGTCTGTCTGGCGGTGGCTGTGCAGCATCGGCAGTTGTAGCCTGGCTTTCCAAAGCAACCTCCTCCTTCACAGGGCTGCTGTGGACATGTGCCACTTCCATCTCAGGTGACTTGTCTCTCGCCGGGGTTTGCTCTACACGCTTCGCTCGATAACTGCTTTCCTGCTTGGCCTGCTCACCGTTTCGAGAGAGATGCTGGACACTTGCTTCTGAAGCCCGATAGCTGGGGCGGGTCTCCTTGTAGCCACCCATCCGTGGATAGTTCCTAGGCGGGGGCATTCTCCCTGTACCCGCGGAGCTCCTGTTGGTGAACGTTCGCGGTGGAGTTGAAGCGTTGTCTGGGCCTTGGTGTCTTGGCGGCTTACTCGGCCTCTCATTGGACCAGTTTGGGTCTCGCTGAGGAGGACTCCCAAACCTGAGGAAGAAAAATGGTACAAAGGGCTGGAAACAAAACCCTAGGTGAGAAATGAAGCTGTCACTGAAAAGCATTTCTAATTGTCTGGATTACCTTCTGGTTTAAAGTTAATTTCTAGAAGGTTCTGTGCCCCACAAGACAACAACTTAAAAACCGCTCTGCAGATGGTTTCTCCCCTGAGCTCAGCGTTTCTGCTTGAGAAGCAAGAGGTGCTGCAGTGCCAGGGAATCCCTTGGCAGCATCCAACTCCCAGGACCTAGGTCTCCCCCTCAGGCCAAAGCCACTTAGGGGCTCCAGACCTCTTGTTGGAAGTGCTTGGCATGAGGGCTAAGGTCTCCCTCTGGGATGAGCCAGCCTCTAGTCTGACTTTGCTGTTCACCTTGGTTTGCGCATCCTCCTCGGCTTGATGTCATCGGGGTTGTGAGCTGACCTGATGTCATAGCCATAAAGCGCGATCAGCTCCTGCCTGGTCTTGGGGGCCTGCTCATCCTCTCGGAATTTGTCGTGTTCCCAGCGGCCCTCGTCTTTCCACAGCTTCCGCTGCCGACCCTTCGGCCTGGAACAGTCATAGAGAGAAGCAAGAGGTCATTGCAAAGCCAAGGAGATGTGGCAGCTTCAACGAGCATCAAACACAGAACGTGCATTTCTAGGACAGGGTGTGCATACGAGGCAGCACCTCTCCTTCCTTCCTGTCCCAGCAGCTGCTGGTTTACCCACTGCATGTGGGTAAACACATGCACTGCACGTGCTACCAAAGCAGCGAGTATCCCTGGTCAGCGGCAAGAGGCTTGCCTTGTGTTTTCTGTACCACGCCCAGTCCTTTCTTTTTCAAAGCAAAGAACCAAAGCCAGTCCTGGCAGGTCACTGCTAGTACACAACTGGGCCAGAGCACAGAGAGATCCTCCTTGCTGACGCCTTCCCAGCTTTTCACACAGATGCCAAGAGCTGGGCTGCCTCACACTGGCCTGGGAGTTAGTCTTAGTCTAACAGAGAGAGAGAGATATGTTGGGGATCCTTACATACCTGACCTCCTCTTCTTGAGTCTGCCCTCGGAGATCATGCTCAAAGAAGAGCCCTTTGCGTGGGATGTAAGCTGGGTTCTGCCGATCCTCATCGTCATCCAGGTGCTTGGGAACTTTTTTCCCAACTTTATTCTCAACAGGTTCAGTGCTCTCCTGTCGAAATCAGACAGCTCTTAACACTGCAGCAGTCCTCCTACGAAGAGCCCCTCACGGCCCAGAGAAAGCATGTGTTTAACACCTACCTGCCCGTCTCCACTTTGTCTCTCACCAGTTACAGCACCTTTGGAGTCAGGTTTCTCATCCCCCTTCTCGGCTTTTGCTGCAGATTCACAGGAATCGTTGCTGTCCTGCTTCAATTCCACTTTCGCACTTTCTTCCTCACTGTAATCCTCTTCCTCCGCCTGAAAGAGCCCCAGTTACTCAGACAGGTGCCATTACCAGCAGGTCCCCCAGGAAATTCCCAAAGAGGTCCCCAGCTCTGGAATTAGATCCCTGTTCCAGTTGTTAGAGATCTGACTCTCTTATAGTGGAGGACTACCTCTCAAGGTCCTTCCTATCCCTATATTTTTATGGGGAATGCAAAGATTAAATGAACATGTCCCCCCATCGATTTTCATCAGTGACAATAGATCAAACAACCATGATTTCTAAAGCACAGAGCTGGAACCAGCTCCCCTGCAAAGCCACAGTTCTAATCTGACTGAAACGAAACGGCTTGTGTAGGCCTGGGAGACAAACTAACGAGGGGGGAAAGTTTCTACCACCAGGCCCTTAGAAGGTCCCTTCTTTCCCACACTGAAGGCCTGGAACCAGCCACTGCTGTGTTTCCAGATTCCCTGGAGTTACTCAGCTGACTCACTCCAAGCGCTCTGCTTGCAGGAGCCTGACCTCATTTCACCCTTCAGGAGCCTGCAAGCCTTGCTTAGGCTGGAATTGACACTAAAAATAGCTTCACATGATTAAGAAAAAGACTGCTCTATTTTTCTCTTTCAACACAGCATATTTGCACATCAACTGCTCCTTTTGTTTACATTAGGGAAACCCAGACGTGGCATTATTTTTAGGCACAGGAACAGAGTCATCCTGGCATGTCAGTGATGCAATACTGCTGCGGCTCAAACAGCCTAGTGTGCACCAGCACGCCTGTGCTTCAACGTTCTCCGAGTGTAGAGTCTCTAGGGAGCCCTCTACCCTGTTTTCTAGAGGTTTGGCGAGCTGCTGCGAGGTGAGTGGGGGAGACACCCCATTCCTTCCACATGATGCCTCTATAGCCTGCAATGCGCCTTCCATATTAAGGGCAGAGGTTCCTTCACAAATGAACAGCCCCTACCAGCTTCAATTTCATCTGCCTTGTTTTATAGTCCCCCACAAAGTCCCCACGATATCTGTCTCAAGAGAAGAGTTTTCACTAAAAAAACACTTTCACTGTAACATACATTAGAAAATAGTGAGAAAACAGAACTTCTCCAAACATCTTCAAGTTGTTAAATTTCCACTCATGCAACGAACATCGAGGGAAAGCCACAGGCTGCTGCCGAGGCTACCTCACCGGCTCAAACAGCAGGCCTCATCAGTGCACGTGAGGGGGCGATTTGTGCAGGATACACACAGCTACCAGCACCCACTAAGTGCATTATTCTTCCAGCCACTGTACACAGGAAACAGGGATGTTGTTTGGGATGCTTCCAACCCCATACTTAGTTTTTAATTTCAGCTAATTAAAACGCAACCAGCATCCTACAGCCCGTTCCACATCCTTCTTAGCCACAGCCATCCCCTCCCCCTGTATCTAACACCTAATCTCAGAGGAGCCAGAGATTTTTTTCCTTACGTACTGGTACCATACCCACCTCCCCAGCAGCACAGATAGCTTCTAAACTAGGGATGGACCTAGCAACAGCTGTACAGAGCAGTGGACTGACCACAAGACAACTGCCTAGCAAGAAGGATCGGACTGAAAAAGGCTTTTCCTTCCAGCATTGAGGACTACCGCAGCGTAGGTCACTCTGAGTCCTTGTAAAGAGGGTGCGAGGCACATGAGCTGGTATCTTGAGACAAAGGCAATCGCTACAGACGGGGTCAGTGGAAGAGAACGAAGGACACAAACTGGGTTTTGTGCTAAAATTATGCAAGACACAGTCATTCTACAGAACATCAGGACAGAGACTCCTCTTACCTCTGAGTCTTCTGCACTTTCATAATCTGAGAGTACAGCTGTGGGAGAGAAAAAGGAGATCAGCATCAAGGCAGAAATAGAATAGTGCTGTCCCTCAGAACAGATTCTCTCTGAGCATAACACGCCATGCTCCTGGCTACTGCTGGCAAGTGCTCACAATACAGTAACACCTAAGGGAAGTCAGGGGTTAATGCTAAGTGCCCCTGACAAATACCATTACTAAGTCATACAGGAGAAACAAAAGGTGAATTTAGGGAGGATTGTCCTTGCACTCCATGCTTGTCTACTATTATGAGGTAATATTTGGGATGACAACAACTGCAGAACTTTTGAAAAAAGCATTTTCTCGTGTTTGTGCTTTTGTGTCCCAAAAACATTTGCGGTGCCAAAGAGAATCACTACTCACCATCTCCTTCAATGCCATCTTCGCTTTCCTAGAGAGAAAGGGAGAGAAAATTCATTAGTGGAGAGGCAGGGGAGCAGCCAGATTCTTGTGGCATCCTACGATCCCAGACACAATTACAACAAAGCTTGGCCCTGGTCCTACCACATCCGTTCTTGGAAGTTCAGTCTGAATTTCCAAGCAGGAAGAACCAAATTCAGTACCCGTAGTACTTTGCTTTAAGGTCTTTTAGTCCTCATCGTAGAGCACGCTATACAGAGGGAACTTAAAGAGCGTACCCGTCAAAGAAAAGAGCATGAACTGTGTTAGTGCTGGGGGTCTTTGGAGGGAAAAGACCATCAATAGACAAGAAGGGCTTCTTTTTCTGGGCAATACAGACCAAGACAGCTAACTCAGGAAAGGAAAAGAGAGATTACTTAAAGCAGGAGCCGGGAAAAACTAACAGATGCTGAGCAAGACCAAGCTCAGACAGACATCTGCTATAGACTCCAGTAACAGAGATATATCTCCACATCCAAAAGAAAACACTAGATGAACCGGAACAATTCAGACCAGAGAGAATTTCTAGTAAGGGAACAGACTGCCTGACTGAACAATTCGGGGGAAAAAAAAAAAAAAAACCCAACTTGAGATCAAAAATAAAATCAGTCCATATACTAATGAAATAAGCCCCACAGTTAAAAACTAGAGAAAAATACATGGCAATTTCAGGAGGAACTTGAAATAACCAGCACTATAAAACCATGACACAACAAAATAACCCCCAGCTATATACCGTAAAATAAGAAGATTTATACTAGAAATGCGAGGGAGCAGCTATACCACAAAAAGTTTCCGTAAAAAGTTTTTAATGTTCTCATTAAAACGTCTACCCCTTTTTTAAGGGGAGGGATGGGCTGGCCTGGGCAGCAAGCTCCAGTGCCAGTAGGGGCCCCCAAGGGAGCAGCCTGCCCCAGGGAACAGTGGAGCAAACCTCCTGCCTCAGCCCCACTGCGGGAGCCCCAG